CTTCCTTTCCCCTTTCACAAGTCCTCATGTCCGTGAGGGACGTGACCTCTGGTCACACGCCGGAAGGAACTCCGCCTTTCTGCTTGTGGCCAGCAGGAGGCAGCATGACTTCTTTCCTTGTGATGTCTGAACCACCGTGGAATCCTGCCACTGAGAGAAGTAAAAAAGGATGTGAACGTGATATACAAAAGAACTGTTACCAAAGGAGAAACTGACGTGCACCTGGGCCCCCCACCCCCGTCCCGGCCAACGTGCACACGTGGCAGACTGAAGCTACTTGCCCGTTTTGCCTAAGTTTGATTGGGAGAGTTTATCACAGTGTTTTCCCAAATGTGATTGGCTTCTCAAACGAGTAGCATCAAGGAAGCCTGACGAGGTCCAGGAGACATAGATAGTCCAGAGAAATGTCCGTCTAATTGTGGGAGAGGGCCACTTCTCAACTGGAGAAGGAATGTTCTCAGTGTCCAGCTCATACTTTCTCTCTAATCAGAAGCTTTCTCGGTAAGTTTCAACCACTCAGGCTGTTACGATGCCTCCTCACCCTTGGCCTTTCTGAACAGCGTGCTAGACACCGAGTGAGCCAGGTGGTCCGGAGATCTGTTCAAGACATTCCCTACCTTCGTGGGGTTTATTGTGTAGCTGGAAGAAAACACACGAAAAAGTTCAGACTTCAAAAGGTATCAACTCAAAGCTAGGATACACACACACGCATTAGTAGAGCACCGCTGTGGGGTTAGCGAGGGTTCTCATCCTGTTCCCCTTAAACCAGTCCCGTGACTTCTCTGAGTATGTTGGCCCTAGTGTGTGTTTGCCAGGGGTACAGCTGAGGAATGAGGTCGGTGAGGCTGAATGTGGGATCCTTCATTTTAATGATAGGTAAGCGAGTCGAAGTATAGAACTGTCGCTTCGAAGGTGGCGAAGCTAGTTGACTGACAAGCTTGAGTTAGTATCTAGGCTTTTCTCGTTATTCCTGTCTCCACTGATCCTTAGTTTTAAGCTGTAGCCTTAGGAATCCTGGGGTGCCCAGAAATGTTTGTGGCTTCCTCTGTTTCAGGTTAAAACTCGCTGTTCTTTCTACAGGGCAAGGCAGCCGGGGCAGACCGGTTCTACAGCGCTTCAGGAAGCTCTTCCTCCCATTTTAGCTGGGTGGTTTTTAAAACCTTTGCTCCACAGAGCAGCAGATCAAAGGTTCTTCCACTCCTCCTGACCCGGCTGAGTGATGATTGTGCTGACGAGGCTCTCAGTCATCTGATATGCAGGGCGTCAGGGGCGAAGTCACCATTATTGTCCAGCAGCACTTATTTTAAGCCGACGTGGCCCAGGCATTGAAAATGCTTGCAAAAAAAGAGTAGCTCAGAGAGCCGCCATCCAGGATGCCTACAGTGAGCCCACGCGCTCACAGGGGCGACCCTCCCGTGTGCACCGCCATCTGCTGGGCCTCGAAGGAGGCTGGAAGGAAGGAGGATTTCCCTTGGGAAGCTGAGACACGACAGTGGCATACAAATAAAAGCAAATAAACATAGTTCTAAGCAGAATTGCAAGGAGGAGGGGAAGGAGAGTGAGGAGGCGAATTGTTAGAGCTGATTTCTTAGAGATGGGTGACTTACTAGCGAAAATAAAGTGAGGTCTCCCATGCCCGGGCAGGAATATTTTAATTCACAAGTAATTGCTGAATGCTCACTCTGCAACTAGAAATATTAGCTGTTACTGGGCAGATAAACAACGTAGGAGGTGTCTGCTCTGGAGGAACTTGAAGCCTCATTGCAACAGCACTTGTACATAGAATGCAAGGTAGCATGTGATTAGTGAGTCGTGAAAGAATTCTGAGAAAGGAAAATCCAGAGGAATAAAGACAGGTAATTGCTAAATGTTTTGAGTGCTTACTATGTGTCAAGTCCCATGCTAAGGGCTTACTTTACACCAGCTCATTTAACTGCAACAATTCTATGAAGTAGGTTGTCATACTACTGCCATTATATAAATGAGAAAACTAAAACAGTAACTTGCCCAAGTCACACAGCTTCTGAGAGCGAAGGCAGGATTCACTCCGCTGCCTGCAGAGAGACGGCTGGGGAACAGTGGTCAGGAAAGGCGTCATGGAGCGAGTTGCGAAGGATGAACTGTATTTCTCCCAAAAGGTGAAGTGGAAAAGCATTTTGGTAGAGGGACCAGCACTTAGAGAAGGGGAACCGGGGTAGAATGTGTGGTATGTCTGCAGCGGCAGCATCAAGTCGTTCCTGGGTGGCTGCTGGAGACCTGGAAGGCAGAGGACGCCACGGCGGGTGGGCCTAGGACCCACCGAGGGCATTACGAGGAGGAGGCCTCGTCAGAGCTGGTTTGAGACCGGTCACTGCCATGTCTGGGGAGAAGGGATTTAGAGGTGATGGATTTAGTGACGGACTGTTTTCTAGTGTCAAGCTGCCTGGTTCCAAATCCTGATTTTGATATATTTTTGATAACTCAGGACAAGTTTCTTAACTTCTCTTTGCCTCAATTGACACGTGTAAATTAGGAATGATGTGGCACCTACTGTGATGGATTGTGATGCTTAAACAAGGGAAGGCATGTAAAGCCCTTACTCAGGGGACTACAACAGCACGTAAGATATGGTCCTGCCCTCAAGGAAGGGGCATGTAGGGGCATGTAATAAAGATGGGTAGACAGACAATTACAATACAAGGATAAACACAAAATGCTCGGGAAGATGGGAGAATAACAGGAAAATCCTTTCACAGGAAATAGCTTCTAAGCTGAAATCCGATGGAGTAGTAGGACCTTGTCAAGTAAAAGGGTTCGGTTGAGAATGGAGGCCTTTAGGGGGAAGGAACAGTATGTAAAAAGAGGTATCACACTCCGGAAACTTAAAATAATGGAGAGTGGCTGTAGCATAGCATGCAGTGGGTGAGGCCAGCATGGGGAAGAGGTTGGAGAGGGTAAAGTTGGTGTGTTAGGGGTGCTGTTAACGGATGGAAACGTTGAGAAAGGGGTCAGGCTATTGTGAAGAGGAAGACGATGGTTCAGATTGGGGCATGATACGTTTGAAGTAACAACGAAACACCTAAGTGAACTACACCCCACTGTACTACACCCCACAGTAAACCCTTCTCGTTGGGCTGGTGGAGTTCTAAGTAAGACAGTTAGGTTGCTGCGGTACTGTGGGTCAGATGTGACTAGGAACTAAGGGAGGTAATGACAGTGAAGATGAGGAAAAGTGGACAGATTCAAGAGATCCATGGGAAGTACAGTCAATCACTGATGGAGGTGTGGGATTTGAGAAGAGATCTCTACTAGAAAAAAAAGTAATCCCAGGTTTCTGAGTGAATGATGTTTCCATGACCCAGATTGAGAATACAAGTGGAAGAACACGTTTAGCACGGAAGATAACACGTTCTGTTTGGCAGAGGGGTTGATTTGAGGTGCCTATGGGACATCCAGGAGTAGATGACCCATAAGGTATTGGATTTATGAGCCTGGAGGTTGGAGAAGAAGTCAAGATAATAGATTCTGTGGACTTTAAGATATACTAGGCAAGCCATGAAAGTGAAAGCATATAGAGCAGAAAGATCGGGGAGCTGATAACGCCTGAGGGGAATAGAGACGAGAGCCCAACATAGGAGAATCGAAGATGTGGGGCCAAGGACCGAGTTTAATGCATCCGTCAACAGTATAAAATGATACTGGAGACTAAATGAAGTAAAAAATGAGACCTTCTCACCTGTATGATAAAAGGGTACCCCAAATTTTCGGGAAAGAAATGTGCCAAAATAGTGGATAACATTATTTGTCAGGATGATGGTTTAAGTGGCGTGTGTGTCTGCTTTCTGTACTTTTCAAGATTTTAGCAATCAGAATGATGATAACCAAAAAGCGGGATTCTGAAAGGAGAGGAGGGGCTAGAAACAAGAGCAGCAATGGCAGAGGGTACGAAGGCGAGGTTAGCCTGATTGAACTCCAAAGCAGGAGGAGTTGCACGCAAATATCTTGGGAGAATAATGGCCTGCAAACAAGTCTGAGGACTAGGAGTATCTCAGTTCCCCCATTTTCTGACACAGGAGGGGAAGTAACGGTGTCCTGGGGGAAGCCGAGGTGTCTTTCGACTGAGTGGGTTGAAGGAAGTTCCCTACAGAACAGGGAATCAGAGAAACGAGGGGGCCAGAGAGGAAAGGACAAGTGAGGAAGACAGCTCTGCATTTGGGGCCCGTCCAGAGATTAGAGATGGAAACCACTTGGGCAATGAATTAGCCTGAAGGTTCCCAACTTGAGTTTAAAAGTGTTTTGGTACCAGTCTTGACCGAAGGCGCCTGAGGGTTCCGGAGCCTAGTCTCAGGCCTTCCTCTCGGGGCGCTGGGTGGCAGTTTCAACAACCCACCCCTGACACATTCTAGGAAGAAGAACGAAGCATCGTTTGAACAATGATTACAAAGAGGAACAAGTAAGGGTGAGGGAGAACGGTAACAGCCGGAGGGTCCTCCGTTCAGTCCTGTGACAAGTATTTATTGAGCTGCCAGAGCTTGGTCTTGTTCATCGCTATATCCTCACAATGGTATTTGGCACATAATGTGTGTTCAGTAAAAAAATTGTTGTTGAAGGAATGAATCGTTCAGTGACTTATTTTCAGGTTAACGGTATTCAGAAAAAATGAAAGAGTTCGACTCTGTCCACAGCCTCTGAAGGGCAGCAGTGGATAAACA